CCTCTGTCACAAGTCCTGCTCTGGCTCTGACTCTCCTGCTTCCCTCTTCTACTTCTAAGGACATGTTTTAATACATTGAGGTAACCCAGATAATCCAGGATAATATTCCCTGTGGAAGGCCATCCTGGCACGTGATTTGAGTTACCTCCCAGGTTGGGGGAGAGGCGCTTAGACGCAACTGTGTCAGAGCCTTCCCCACCCTGTCCCAGGTACGAGGGCTTGTCCGTGTAGAGGTGTGCCTGGCCACTGACCCGAAGACCCAATAGCTGGCCCTGACCTTGGGATGCTGCCCCCCTCAACCTTCATTGGATGGGATTTTCCCTTGAATTTTTTGTTCCCCAATAAAAGCTCACTCTCTGGAGTGCTCTCCCTCTCTGGCTAGCCTCTTCTGTAAACCTCGCCACCGCATTAGGTGCCTGGAGGCGGGAGCTAGGAGAAGCCGTCTCCGGAGCTGGGAATTAAAGGTAATGAAAGTATGTCTCTTTAATTTTAAAACTCACTAGTAAATTTCTATGCATTGAATCTTCTTTCATGAAGCTCGCGCTGGTCGCGCGGCAGAATTCCCATCCTAAGACATTTAATTACATTTGTAAAGTCCCTTTGCCAGGTGAGATTATGTATTAATAGGTTCCAGGAATTGGGTAATTGCTATAGTTGGGATGTGTTAAAGGCTTGGTCCCCAGAATGGAGCATTAGAAAGTGGAACCCCTAAGAAGTGGGTCTAAGGGGATGTTCTTAGGTCACTTGGGACATCCCCTCAAAGGGATTAAGAGACCTGATCCCATTCTCTTTCTCTCTTTTGCTTTCTGGCCATCAGGGGAATAGTTTGCAATACTATAAGCTTCCTGCTTTTGCTACCTGGCACACCCACCTGAAGCCCAAAGTAATGTGTCCATCCAGTCCAAAACTAGAACCTCCAAAACTGCTAGCCAAAATAAAACCTTTCTTGAATTAATTATCTCAGGTATTCTGCTATAGTAACACAGAACCGACTGACACAGCCAAGGACATCTGTAGGGAGCCATTATTTTGCCTACCACAGCAAGCAAATTTATTAAGATGTTTTAAAACCTAGCTCTAAAAAAATTGGTTGTGGAAACTTCTTGAGGGGTTGGCATGCAGTGATGAGAGAATGTTTTGCTTCTTTCTGTCATCGGGTTCCAAGATTCTACTCGCTATGTCCATTTGACCACTCGAGAGTCTCTCCTTTTCAATAGATGGTCAGTCCTTAGACTCAGCTGCTGGAGTTCACCCTGTTGCAAAGTCTCTAAGACGCCTTACAAAGGCCTCTAGGGCCCTGGATGAACAAGTCCTTGACTACCTTTCCACTCTAACTCCCAAGAATCTGAGGATCGGTTGACTGGCCCCATACCACAAATAAAACGTTTTTATTTTTAGCCAATCAGAAATATACATGGCTTCCAGAAAGTGGAGCCAAGAATTTCCTTTCTTTTCCTTCAGCAATGCCCTCATACAGAGATCTCCATAGTCTCCTGATCTCCCTGCACTCTCTCCTGCTCATCTTTATTTTTTTCACCCTTTCCTCCGAATCCTGGCTCCTTCCTGGCAGCAGCCCTCAGGGTGACGAGGACCATTCTTCCTGCATTGCAATCCAGGAAGTCCAAGCTAGGTCCCTGTTGCTGTACTTAGCACAAGTCACAAGACTTTCAGGTTCCTCAAAGCAGGATGTGCACAGGACAAGCAGGTCTTTCTTGCTAATATTGGCCATTAATATGGATGATATTTAAACTGTCTGTTGTCCTTCCAAGGCTTTGTCTTCACTGGGAAAGGGGAAGAAAGGAAGGCGGTAAGAGGGATAGAAAAAATCCCATCCTCCCATAAGAGGTCAAGTGGATAAGAATAGTTGAGAGAATGAATGCACGCACAGATGATGGAGCCAATGTCTCTAAGCTCCTGCTATCTCCTATCTCACAAAAGACTATGGCTTGAAGAATTGACCTGCTGGGGTCGACCAGCATCCCTGTCTGCATGCCTCTCTCTCCTGTGTCCAGTTCACATTTTTACCCTGATTTTTGATTCTTAATCTCCTGAGAGATAAGTTGAACAACTGGAACAATCTGTCTTTTCTTTTGGAATACTGGAAAATGTGAAATTCCCAAAACATCAAGCTGGAAGGTTTTTTCATAATTGATGTCCCAGCCGTTTCGGCATAATTTCTCAACTGTAGTTGTCAAGGACTCTACAACTGCTTCTGCCAAAATCTTTTCATTATCTTACCAGTCACATTTCTGAATGTTAATTTGAATTCCTATGGCATATTGGCATCTTCCTGGGTAAGATGATGTGTAATAACTGTAAGTCATTGAAGCTGGCAGGCACTATAATGTCAAAGTCATGCCAGGAATACCCTGTGATCTTTTGGAGAAATTCTAGGTCCTTGAGCAAAACTTCTTTTAAAAAGTCTCTTCTTAAAAAAGAAAATACTCCCCAAAATACCATCAGTGGAGCTCCTTTGGGAATTGCCTGGGCTATAACTATACCTCTATTGTTTAAGGAAAATATATTTCAAGGAGGATTTAATCAAGTAGTCACAAGTAGTGTCTTTGGAGAACAAGGTTAGTCCCCCATAAAACTGCTTGGAGAAGATGATTTCTATATACTGAGATGCTTTGATATTTCCTACTAGGACTAAGAATTTTCCACTCTGGACTGAAAACGATCTGGGTGAGGCTTCCTCACCCACCATTTATTTGAATATCAAGCTATGAAGACATTGAAATCAATGATGTTGAGTATGGTGATTAAGGTGTGTCAGGTCCACTTTGGCATATGACTACCTGTAATCCTTGATGTTACAACATCCTTATCATAAATGACAGCCTCATGAATAACCAAGCTCTTATCCACGTCTGCCTAATGACCAGCCAGCAGCAATCGGCCCCGTCTGCACCACATACCACGAGCAAAAATGCCTCCTTCACAGCTCTCTTTAGTTTTGTAAAATTTTCTTCTCACTTTGACAGTTTTTCATTCATTACTATGACTGAGAAAAGGAAATATGATGTATAAAATATGAAGTCTACAAAAATGTCAGGAAAGTCTCCATTTATGAAATGAAGCATGATGTTTCATTGTGTTGGAAAATGATATCAATAGGCTCAAACGCCTGATAAGACCAGACACAGAGGCAGCTCATATGGCATCAGGAGGACTTAATCTCCAATGATAAAGGAGGGAGTCAACTCAGCTAGGTATGTTGTCAACTGGAGATGTCACCAAGGATCCATCTGAGATGATGGAAATGCTCTGAGTCTATGCTCTCCACATGTCGCCAATGGCCACCCTTTGGCTATTTAGCGCTGGAAATGTGGCGAATGCCACCGAGCAAATGAATTTTAAATTTTGTTTTAACTTAAATAGGTACAACCCAGATCAGGATCATAATGTCCTCATAGGAGAGAGGTATCCACATTTAGGATGATAAGGTCTGTCACGGTTTGGAAAGGTATCCCCCTAAAATCCATGTGGTAAAGGCTTGTCCCCAAGCCCAGGGTTCTGTTGAGATATGGGGGAACCTCTAAGAGGTGGGGCTTATGGGAGGTCTTCATGTCCCTGGGGTGTCCCCTTGAAGGGGACTGTGGTGACACTAGCCCCCTCCTCATTCTTACCTGGCCATGAGGCAAGTGGCTTTATTCCATCAGGCACTCCTGCCACCAGAGGCCCAAAGCCACAGGTACTTGATCTTGGACTGGAACCTCTAGAATTGTGAGCCAAAATAAATTCTGTCTCTATCAGTTGATTATCCCAGGCTGTGGAGGTGGAAAGCTGACTAACAAGGTCTGGGAAAACGGGGGTCACATGACACTTCAGGAAACTTAAATATCTGTATAAGGCTGAAGCAGGCTTGCACAATCTGGTCTGCATATAGGCCACAGATCACCTTATCCACACCAGGTGCACCCTGTCCATCTCAGAGTGATCCAGGACACAGTACACAGTGCGCTCAGTTATGCAGGCTGAGTTGGCATTCTCGGACTCCAGCCTAGCACGGCCTGGGCCATGAACTTCTCTGAACTCAGGCTGAGGAACTGGAGTAAAGTTCAGCTCAGACATCTTTTATTAAAAAAAATTTTTTTTAATTTGTTCTTTTTAGTTATACATGCATGGCAGTAGAATGTATTTTGACATATACATACAGGGGGTATAACTTTCCATTTTTGCAGTTGTATATGTTGGGGAGTTACACCGGTTGTGTATTCACATGTAAACCTTAGAAAGTTACGTCCGATTCATTCTACTGTCTTTCCCATTTCCATCCCCCTCCCTTCCCTTTATTCCCTTTGTGAACTTCTATTCTCCCCCCAAACCTCCACCCATGCTTATTGTGAGTTGGCATCCGCATATCAGAGAGAACATTTGATTTTGGATTTGGGGGATTGGCTTAATTCATTTAGCATATAGTCTCCATTTCCTTCCACTTACTGGCAAATGCCATAATTTCGCTCTTCTTTGTGGCTGAGTAATCTTCTTCTGTGTGTATGTCCCCCATTTTCTTTATCCATTCATCTGTTGAAGTGTACCTAGGTTGGTTCCATAGATTAGCTACTGTGAAATTAGCTGCTGTAAACACTGATGTGGCTGTGTCACTGTAGGATGCTGATTTTAAGTCCTTTGGATATGTACTGAAGAGTGGGATAACTGGGTCAAATGGTGGTTCCATTCTTAGTTTTCTGAGGACTCCCCATATTGCTTTCCAGAGTGGTTGTACCAATTGGCAGTCCCACCAGCAATTGTACCTTTTCCCCCACATTTTCATCAACATTTATGGTTACTTGTATTCTTGATAATTGTCATTCTGGAGTGAGATGGAATCTCAGTGTAGTTTTAATTTTCATTTCTCTCATTGCTAGAGATTTTGAACATTTTTTCATATATTTGTTGATCAATTGTATTCCTTCTGTGAAGGGCCTGTTCAGTTCCTTAGCCCATTTATTGTTTGGGTTATTTGTTTTATATATATATATAAATCCTGGAGATTATATATATCCTGGAGATTAATGCTCCGAGGTGCAAGTGGCAAAGATTCTCTCCTATTCTGTAGGCTCTCTCTTTACATTGTTGTTTCCTTTTCCTTTGCTGTGAAGACAGCTCAGACATCTTTAGAAGTTATGCTGGGAAGTCTCTGAAGTAGCAAAAAGTCTTATTTCTCCACCTGGTGATGGGAGTCAGGAATGGGTATACAGGAAGGAGGCTCCCAGTTCAAATTGTTCCTTTAAGCAGTGAGCACAATTTTTAAAAATATTTTTATTTTTTAGTTATAGGTGGATACAGTGTCTTTATTTTGCTTTATGTGGTGCTGAGAATCGAACCCAGTGCCTCACGCATGCTAGGCATGTGCTCTACCTCTGAGCCATGACCCCAGCCCCAATTTTTTAACATAAAGAAAATAGTTGGTGGAAGCCCACTGCTATCACAAATTATTTTGCCTCTGAATTAGTAAAAGAAACACTATTTTCTTTCAATGCATGTAAAAGAGTTTAGAAGAAGTGGCAAAAAAAAGATGGTTTGATTGTTGCCTGATTTAATGAAACAGTTTTTAATACTTAACAGTGTTATTAATGAAAAGCCTTGTATATATGCATTTCTTGTTTTTGAGAGCACATCTTTGGAAAAGATTCCTAGAAGTGAAACTGCTAGGTATAAAGGTAATGTTTGTAATTTTACTAGTTATTTCCAGTTATCCTCTACAAGGATTGGACCATTTAGCATTTCCACCAGCAACAAGTATGTCATTCCACTTTTGGATTTTGCCTCTCGGAGAAGTGAGAAATAGCATCTCAGTGAAGTTTCAGTTTTCATTCTTTTCCTACAATCCATATGCTAAGAATTTAATTCCAAAGAAACAAGACTCCTTTGGACAGTAACACCTTTAGGATTGTAAAAGAAGAAAACTTACTCCTCGGCTACACTCTATATTGAATAAAGAAGTTTATCTTACAGATGGACATGAATTGTTAAGTTCTCATTCAGTAGCTCAGTCATGGGGAGGTTATGGAAACAGAAGAGCCACGATTCACAGAACAAGGAGCCTCAGAGAGCTCTTTCAAGCAGCATATGCCATTGCACATCTGCAAAGGCATTCACCTCCAACAAACAGGCAATGGGTGCTGTTTTAGTTAGCTTTGCATCACTGTGTCCAAAATGCCTGACAAGAACAACTTAAAGGAGGCAAAGTTTATTTGGGGCTCACAGTTTCAGAGGTCTCAGTCCAACTCCATTGCTCTGAGCCCAGGATGAGGCAGATTATCATGAGGGAAGGGCCCAGTGCAAGAAAGCTGCTCAGCTCACCAGTGGGGTCAGGAAGTGGGCAGAGAAGGGCTGCAGCAAAGATGCGAAGTAAGATGCGTCCCTCCAGGACACGTCCCCAGTGACCCAATTGCTCCAGCCATGCATACAGTTAACTCCCAGTCATTCCATTCAAACTAGGATGGACTGATTAGGTTACAGCTCTCACAGTTAATCATTTCTGAATATTCCTGCATTAACACAAAGCGCTTTTGGGGGGATACCTCCTATCCAAACCATGACAGAAGTTTTTTGAGAAGATTGAAGATTACTTTGGAATTGGAGGATTTTGGTGCAATAATGAAAAATCAAACTTGATAGTGAAAGATTAACTAGATGAAGGACGCCACACTTTCAGTCAAAACATTGTGGAACTCTTTTTCTTAGTAAAGAAGTTCATCTCCTGCTGCCAGGCTGTTTGCATGTCATTTGAATTACCTGTCTGAATTTTAACATTGACTAACTGCTTGCAAAAGCATAGGCTTGTCATTTATTTTTTATTTTTTAATCAATTTTGGCATTTTAATGCTAGAAAGTGGATATTTGAAATGAGGAATTACGGAAATATTCAGTGCATACGTTTACAGAGGAGGCATTATTGAGGCTAGGTTGCTCTAGTTTTTAATCGATTGCTGGCTAGCATGCTACCAACTTATCAAGCATTCAACTACATCTAGTGATGGTCCTCTGTGGGCTAAGAATCTGCTAAAAGCTGGGGATACAAAGATGATTAATCCAGGGTTCCTTCCTTAGAGGAATGTACCATGCAGTAGAGCAGACTGGCAAGTAAATGTGTAAATTAATAGAACCTCTGATATGGAACCAACCAGAACGCTCTATACTTACTTGCATGTATCTTCATTAGTAGTTCAACTTTTAAAAAAATAACAGATTTATTGAGAAAAAATTCACATGCCATATAATTCACCCATTGAAAGCACACAATTCAATGATCTTTGTATTCATATAGCTGAACACCTATCACCACTTTCAGTTTTAAAACTTTTCAGCATCCCCAAAAGAAGGTCTGTGTCTATTAACAGTCCCCCTGTTTGCCTTGAACCCACTTAGGCAACCATGAATCTTTTTTTTTCCTCCACATTTTTTATTGGTGCATTATAGTTGTACATAATGGTGGGACTTGTTTTTACATATTTGCACTTGCACACAACAGAACACTGTAATTTAGTCCATACCCTCCTCATCACTTACCCCCTCCCTCCCTCCTCCCATACCTGGTCACTTTCCTCTGTTACACTCTCCCTTTGCTTTTCATGTGATCACCCCCAACTTTACTTTTGCTTTTTTCTCTCTAGCCTCCATATGTGAGAGAAAACATATGACCCTTGACCTTCTGGGTTTGGCTTATTTCCCTTAACATAAAGGTCTCGACTTCCATCTATTATTCCTTCAAATGACACTATTTCTTCTTTCTTGATAGCTGAATAAAACTCCACTGTATGTATTTGCCACATTTTCTTTATGCATTCACCTATAACCACTCATCTTTCTGGGCTCTGTAACTTTATCTGTTCAAAGCCTTTCATATAAAGAAATGAAAACGAAATCACACAATGTGTAGTCTTTTGTGACTGTCTCCTCCCAGTTAGCATAATGTTATAAAGGTTCATCAGTGTTGTAGGGTGTATCATCATTTTTTAATTCCCTTTTATGCCAAATCATATTCCATTGTGTGGATATGCCACATTCTGTGTTTTCATTCTTTCATTAGGTGATATTTATATTTGGAGAAATGCACAGATCTTAAAGGTAGCCATACACATTTTATTTATCTCTTCAGTTATAGATATTTGAGTTATTTCCTTTTTCGACGGTTAAGAATAATGCTGCTGTGAATATTCATGTACAAGATTTTGAGAGACCTTTTGGTGGAATTGCGGGGGTTCACCTCTGAGGAACAGGTTCACTTGGGGAAACAACACATCTTTGCATGCCCAGAGCCAAGTACACCAATAGAAATTCAGTCAGTTAACAGCTTCTTGCTCAAAACTGCCATCAACTCAGTGTTCCTGTTATGGAACTAGGAGGGGCCTTTGTTGTCAGCTGGCCTGCACCCCAGGTCAGGGATCATCCAGCCCATGGCTGTAATGTGGTCCTATCAAATTCATGTTTTCCATCTTATTTACATGGATCCGTGAGCATCTTGGCCAACATCCATGTGCATGATCTCTGTGAACTCCCCCCATCTGTGAATCCAGTGACAGTCCCACAAAAGGAGAAAGTGTGGTTACTTTGGCATGGCCTATTCTCGCAGCTCATGCCTATGGCTGAGAAGTTGACTGCTTCATGACAGATTCTAATCTTCAGCCAGGAATAAACACTAACCTGTCTATGCCACCTTTCCCTCGTTTTCTTAAAAAAATCACATCAGAGCCTTTGGGGGATCTTTTGTTTCTCTCTTTGCCCACGTTCCCATCCTTGGAGTCTGGCTCATCTGAGCTTGCAGGTCTGTCTGCTTCACTATCTCAGCGTTTATCAGGAGGTTAAAGCTGCAGGGCCCCTGGCCCTCTGGGTTTCACGGCTCTCTAAGCTTCTTTTGCTTATACACTTCCCAGTAGGAAGATCATTCCCCAGATAGAGAAACAAAGGAGTTACTGAGCGGTTCTGAGCAGGTCTGTGTTCTTTCCCACAGGTGTTTACACTATCCTCTCCCGGGAGTCTTCTTCCTTGTTTCCTGGCTCTGATGGGTCAGTAAAGCCCTCGGGTTGGCCCCAGCATTTTCCACAAGCCCTGATCATTGTTGTCTCTAGAGCTTCCTCTGGTGGTTCTTAAAGGCCCTCTGTGTGGCTGTGTGCAGAGACGTGTAGCTGGCTGTGGGATCGTTTAATTTACCTGTGGCTACTCTCTGGGTATCATTTCTTCTTGGTGAAGGACTCCCCCTTGTTCCTCTTTCTCGGGTGGCCTCAGGGGTTTTCTACTGCTCTCCTTCTTGGCTGCCACCACCTACTTTTCTTTTTGCTTCTCCCACTCGGGCTCTGCAGGAAGGAACCCAGCTGCACATATCTTTCTTGCTCTGCTAAATAAGGTAAGATATTCTGTGGAAGTCATTTGAGGCAATTTGTCCCCTGTAAAGGCAGGAAAATCGGGGGTTAAAAAATAATGGGGACAATGATAAGCAATCTTTAACACTCATCATAATCATCCCTGAAACCTGGTTCACATTAGTTCTGGATCTTGTCTTTCTCAGTCACCACAAGTCATTCTTCCTGATCTCCCTTCTCTGTATGCGTTTATGGGGACACTCGGGTATTTTCCCATTCTCCCTCTTTCTATTCTTATCGGTGCCTTCCTGCATTGTATGCAGATGGCAATATGAGGACATCTGGACCACAAATCAGAAATCCTCTCTAAATCCATAACTTTATTTGTTCCCACTGTGGTTACTTTAATCCATGTGTCCCTCCTCCCATCCCGTGTGCATGTATCTCATTTGAGAGCTGGGCCAGCAGCCACACTGATATCTCAATGCCAGCCCTCTTCAGGGCCATTCAGAGTTCCATTCATACTCCAAAAAGCACACAGCCAACTATTGCTATTCACAGTAGTTATAGTCTGTAAAGTCTCCATGGACACCGAGTTGATGGATACTGAGCCATTTCTCCTGGGGGAAATACAGGGCTATGCTCCTATGAGCTGTTGGTTACATTTTCTTTTATCCACCAGTTGTTTCATTTATGTTTTCTGTTCAGAGACTCCTTAATATATGGTGCTGATTCATTAGTGTTGAACTCATGGCCCATGGCAGTAAAACTCATGTCTCAACCAAGTTTACCCAGGCATACGCATCTTCTTCAAAGACCCAACACAGCCTTCTTGCACTTAGAAATAGAGGCAGCACTTCAGGTCAAGTATGGAGGTGATCTTAAGTAGCAAAATCACCCACAGAAAGCACCAAAATGTAATACTAAAAGAGAAGGCAGAGCATCGTCTCATTTGACTTAGCTGGAAACATGTATAATATTGGGTAATTCAAATTTTTGTCACTCTGGGCACATTTCAAGTGACACCAAAGAGCCACACATATTGATTTTGAGATTGCAAATATATTTTCTCAAATAGGAGAATTTGCAAATATGGAATTTGCAAGTAATGAGGATCTGCCAGACACACACACACACACACACACACACACACACACACACACAAACCAAGGGCACAGGCCACAATGTGAGCCAGAAGCTGTGATATTTGGTTCACCAGTGTATACACCATACTTAGCAAAGGGCCTGACATTGGAAGCCCTCAATAAATATTTGTTAGATAAGTAAATGAATCACTGAAAGTCCAGTAAGGTCAATCATACATTCACAGAGCAAGTATCTCCATCTACTCTAGTTACATAGTCCATACAGATTAAATATAATCTTATAAAAGCTACAAAGGCCATTTTTAAGATATCCATCACATCTTCATGTTCATGAAATAATTTTTATTATGATTATTAGATTTGTGTGGTTCTTCATGGGTCAAAAACCACATTCATGTAGTTCCAAACCTATAGCATTTATTGTAGGTAAGCAGATTGTTGATTCAATCATCTAAAATCATGGTAAATTTTTAAAAAATCTTTAATAAAGCCTAGAGAACACTATGATAAATAGGTTAGTTCATATCCCAGTTCTATATGTTTTTCTCACTGGTAATATGATTCTGGTTCTATAGTCATATGGACCTTGGGGGTCCCAAAGAGGGGAGATAGCTCATTGTCTTTTGGAGAGAAAATAGGCATATCTCCACCTAGTGGTCAAAGGTAAAATAAGGGAATGTTGGAATGGGTTTGGACCATTGGGTTCCGGTCTATGCAAAGGTGTGTGAGGGGAAAAAAGAACTAGATTGGTCAAGGAAAATCCACTAGGTTTCCATGGAAAACAATAAGTGTAGGCAGTCTAACATGAGCTCTGGGATCATAAACTTAACTTTTGAATTTCAGCTCCACCACTAATGAGCTATGTGATTTGGGGTAAGATGCCAAGTATCAGCTTGTTCATAAGTAAAATATGAATAATAATACAGCATATGTTCATTTTAAGAATTATAAAAGAATGCATATAAACCAATTAGTATAGTCACTGGCACTTAGAAGGCAGCTGGTAAATGAGAAGTGAGGATCTAACCCAGGGGTGCTTACCACTGAGCGGTGCCTCCAGTTCTCTTCAATTGGTTTTGAGCCAGGGTCTCACTAAGTTGTTGAGGCTGACCTTGAACTTGTGATCCTTCTGCCTCAGCTGGCTGAATCACTGCATCACAGACCTCGCTGACATGCATTCTGTGTGTGTGCCTGTTTGAAAGGGGGTAAAGTATTTCCTCAAGGACAGCAGTTAAGTTTTGCATACATGCCCATGTTTTCAGTAACAAAGCAACACGGTTTGCAAGAACGCACAAGGAATCACAATGTTATATGCTTTAGTACAACAGGACCTATTAAATCATTGAATAAAAAGTGTATTAAATCGAGAGAAGCCCTGAATAAAATGACTCAGAGGAAAGGTCACACATCTCACGTTGACTCACCATTTCAGTGGAAATGCCCAGTGGTAAGCAGGTCCGGGTTGTTTCCTCCATGCCCACTAAAAAATAAAAGGCAATGAGCTAGTGCACAAACTGGAAGGTGTTCCGGATAACTGGCTCTCTTTGCCTCCCTAAGGAAAAGCCTTATCTTTTCTTAAAAAGATATTTCTCATCCTGGTCAAAATAATATTCGGTATAAGGCATCCTGGTCTCATCTGAGGTCTGTATGAATGGAAATGTGAAAGTTCCACATCATAACTGGTGTTGAACTTTCTACCCACTGTTGTCCCTTCCTACTTCTTAGGGTTGAGTGTGTCCCCCAAAAGATATGTAAGTCTTGACCTCCGGTTCCTGGGAATGTGCCCTTCTTTGGAAAGAGAATCTTTCCTGATATATCAAGATTTTGGTTAAGATGAGGTCTGGCTGGAGTAGGGTGACCCCTAATCCAACGTGACTGGTGTCCTATGAGAAGGGTAGAAGACAGACAGACAGACAGACAGACACACACACACACACACACACACACACACACACACACGGAAGTCGACGTTGTGTGAAGACAAACAGGTGCCATGCGGAGAGCGTCACGTGACCACAGAGATTGGAGGGAGGTGATAAAGCGCGGAGCACCAGGGATCGCGAGTAGCACGGAATGCAAGAGCGAGGCGTGAAACGGGTTCTCTCCAGGAAGAACACAGCCCTGCTGACCCCTGATTTCAGACTCTGGCCTCCAGAGCGGCGAGATGGTGAATTTCTGCTGCGTCAAGCTCCCAGCTTGCGGCACTTGGCTGCGCCGCGCCAGCCCCAGGAAATGAACAGCCTTCCACGCGCCTGGCTGGGGGTGGAGGTTGATCTGAGCCGGGTTTAATTCCCTGAAATTCTAACCTTATGAAACTATAGCAAGCTACCTCTAAACACGAGGGGATTACAATCATTCGTGTTCAGACTACACTGAGCCGTAGTTGCGCTGAACACATGCACACGGTCAGGATCTCTGCAGCGCTGGCCCCACCTGGGCTGGGCAGAGTGGGGATTTTCCTCTGGTACTGACAGCCAGCTCCTGAAGTCTGGAACTGCCAGGTCATCTGCTGGCTTCTGTTTCCGTGTGGAGAACGTTCATTTAATCTGCAGATGCCTGATCTTACACAGAAACTTCCAGACACCTGACACCTCTCTTCCCTCCTCCTCTGCCTTTTGCCAGCTGCCAGAAACTCTGCTTCTCTGTCCCCTCCCCTCTCTCCAGTGAAGAGTACGCGAAAGGCAGAGTATTGGGCTTTGAAATATTCTTGCTCCATTCGTATAAGCCCTGTTTAAATCCATGGCATGTCAACTCCGAATACTTGGGCTTAGGAAATGCTCAATCATCCTCTTGACTGAGTGCCTACAATCCATGGCAGATGCCAGCCCCTTCCGCAAAGGGCTTCCCTGGGCATCAAAATGTTTGTATTTAAAGACAAAGCCACTAGGTGGAGCTCCGTTTAAGGTTGGACCCAAGGTCCTGATTCTTCCCTTTGAGTATCAGGTAATCACAATCCCAGAACGAGGCGAGAAGCTCCAGGACAGATGGAGAAAACGGGTCCTTATCCTTAATGTCTGTCTTAGACAGAGCCTCCAGCCGCTTCCGTCATTAATAGTCTCATCTGTGATCAAGTACCCTCTACTCCCTCTTCAAGCTCACCCTATCCGAGGCATCATAATGATGGTGGAATGTGATGGACATTATTATCCAAAGTACATGAATGAAGACATCAATTGGTGTGACTCTGCTTTGTGTACTACCAGAGATATGAAAAATTGTACTGTATATGCATATATGAATTGTAATGTGCATTCCGCTGTCATCTATAAATGAAAAAAATTAATAAAAAGTGTTTAAAAATGGGCAACCAGCAAAAGAAATGGTTCTCTGGAGGCTCTCAGGCTTAATGTAAGAGGTGATTTCCTTCAGGGTGGGCCAGGCGCCTGGCGTGGCCCGTGGTAGGGAGGGCAGAGAAGGCACCCTAGACACCTGACTGTGGCTGCCACCTGGCACTGGCTACACTGAGAGAACACTCTGTGTCCTTGAGCAGCCTTCTGGAACACTCAGGGGACAGCCAGCTGAGAAGGACAGGCAGTGTTGACACCAAGACAGGACAAAGGGCATTTCCAGTTGAACCTGAAATGCTCAAGTCAGAGCAAAGGACCTGAGCCAGCTTCTCCCGTCAGAATCACTGTCAGTGACCAGCCAGGGAGCGCCAGGCCCAAACCAAAGGAGACTGAACAGTCAGGAATCTAAGGAGCGCTCTCAGGCTGCCCTATTCCTTAAAAGAGATTTCCCCTTCATCTTGACTATGGAAAAGTTGGCTTTTTCTTAGTGACAGCATTGCTATTGAAGACCAGCATCATGAGCTTCCTCAGCTCCACCCCAGGTGCTATGATGAGGCTTGAAAACCACACAAACCTGGCAAAGGGCACGGCACATGGCAGGTCCTCAATTAATAGCCCTCTTTCCTCTGGCTGCTACTCTAAGATTGGAGGACTTCCGCTAAGATGTTGCAAAATTTTCACACGTGTCACTGAAGCAAAGCTGCCAGATACCTTGGTATGGATTTGTGCCATATGTACAGTGGAACAAATCCTCTCATCTCCACCTCCACCATCTTCAAAGCAGAGGGTTGTTGTATGAATGGTGGAGAAGGGAGCATGGGGTTCCCTGCTGCTCCAAATTTCCTGCTGAATGGCTCTAGGAAAAGAGATCCCAAAGACAAAGTCAGATGGGCTGCATTTCCAGACCCACCTTGGCCATCAGCCCTTCAGAGGTGGGCTGCATTTTCGGAGCCATCCAAAGAGCCCTGGAAACAGATGAATCTGAGGTCAAGCACTTTCAGTTTCCTTTTTTGTATCCCTTTCTTTCCTCTCTCATCAACACTGCAGCCCATTTTCCCTCTGTTTTTCTGTCCAAACTCCATCTCAGGCTAGGTGTGATGACGCCCACTGGTAGGTAGTCCAGGTGACTCGAGAGGCTGTGGCAGGAGGATCACAGGTACCAGACCAGCCTGGAAAATTTAGTGAGACCCTGTCTTAAAATAAAAACTAAAAAGGGCTGAGGATGTGACTCAATGGTAGAGTGTTCCTGGGTTCAGTCCTCGGTACCAAAAAGGAAAAGAAAAGAAAATCTTGATCTCAGGGGAAAAATTTATCAGCCAATTGAAGGCCATGAACACAGCCTCATTTTCTGTCTACACAGCTTATTCCTCATTTCATCACCAAGAAGATGGTGGAAGTGTTTTGGAATCTTTGGGTGCCCCTGAAACTTAGACCATATAACAGGGAATTCTTTTTTAAGGTTTGCAGTATTGGCAGCCTGAGAGTTCTTCTCCACGTTTCAACACTATTCAGTCCTGTTTGTCTGCTGCACAGGGATCCTCAGGTACCCCCTTAAGTTGCCCTGAAACATGACTCTACTCTTCACTCCATCAACCCTAAAAGCTAATAGTATTGATGTTCAGAATCATGGCTCACCCAGGAAATGCTACCCCCTTGGACATCCACCTTAAAAGTGACCCATTTAATTCTCAAAGACATCTGTGATGAAGAGAAAATAATCTGTGAGGCTTCTAAAATTGTGTGGCCAGGAGAGAGAGGTACATTGGTAGGAAGGTTGGGACCACTGTTAACTGCTTTGTACCTTCTGGAAGTCCAGAGTTTCAAGACAAAGACATTCTGTTTGGTCTTTCAACATCATGAAAGATGTTGAGTTTAGTTCCAGAGAGTAACTGACCAGAAACATGGTGTGATAGAAGTTCAGATACAAGGTTATATACACAGCATCCCCAAAAGCAAAGACAATTTGAAAAATCCTAAAATAATAGCCTCATATTCTCTTGGTTGCTCCTGTATCAGAGGCCCTGGTGATGGGTTTTGCTCTAGTTGCAGAGTCGGTCACCTTGCACATGGTAACAACTGTGTTTTGTCTTATTTCATGCACCATGCTTTTTCTTTTAAGCCCTGGAGCTTCCTTGATATCATTGAGATATTGGGCATTTTATATATCTGCAAAACAGGGTACCAACCCCTTCTACAACTGCCCTAGTCAAGCCCATGAGGTTGTGAGGTTCCTACAGGCATTCAGGAATCCCAATCTAGAGAAATGACTTCTTAAACCAAAATCCTCCAATATGAGCCCATCTACTCTCTCTAGCCCAGAGGGCAAAGAGGTCTCTCTATGCTGGCTGAAGGAGGCCTGATGTAGGTGTTTCTCCAGATCACCGAGAGCTGGATTTATTTTTCCCTGAGAAAGAAAGAGGAGAGAACTGATTACCCAGACTCACCTCTGAGTCCCTGGTGCTAGAAGAAGCCTCAGGCCATGGCATGGATGACTCCTTAGCTTGGGAACCGTCAGCTGTTCCTCACACTTCTAGAATATAGAAATATTGATAGAGTGGGGACAACAGGGCTTTGAAATGTTCAGAGATGGAGGGATTTTGTAGGAGAGTTTTTAGAGATGCAGACTTGAAAATATTACACTGAAACTTTACAAATCCATGAAAATTATGGTTACCTTTGAACACTGAGGCTTGTTTGTTTTGCCAAATTCCAGACTATCAGACGCAGAAAGTGATCCCCAAGAGAACAATGAAAGTAGTTTAAGAACTCCCTTTTACACTAGAATGAGTCCATTTATTTTCATTTATTTATTTTAACCCTAGAATGTGGCAGGAATTCAAATAGATAAATAGGGTTAGGCTGTAATTTTTTAAAATGGCCTGAGTTGATCATTAAAGGATTTAAGAGATGCTGGCTTCAGGGGTAGGAGCAGCCCAGGAGAGGGCCTAGCTATAGGGCATCAAGCCTGGAGAGAAGCTGACCCTGCCTGGGGTCAGCTGCAGAAGGGATCTGGTCATGGCTCTGCTCAGTCTTTATTTATGAGGCTTCCTGGGCCACTTTGGTCCTGGTTTGCCCATCTTCTCCAAGAAACTGTTGGAAGAGCAGATGTTTCAGAAGCAACTAGGTGGAGATTTAGAACAGTTGGAATTCCTGAAAAATGGCAGCAGATATCCATAAATAAATATCAGAAACTAAATACAGAATGCTTGGCATTTAGCATATTTTTGAAACACTGTTTACCAATTTCTTTACCAATTGCCAGGGTTGCCAAACAGCTTTTAAAGATTTGGCCTGTCCCCACCACTCAATTTATGATCTGGCTCAAGGAAAACGTTGACCAGATTCAGAATAGCCAATTGTGTATTTGTGTTTGCATAAGTAACTAGATTTTATCCCCCACCTGTTGCAAGCATGTATGGAAAGGGTATCATTAGGATTCAGGACACAGGCTGGATTTTGACAGCTAAGCGACAAAAAACTGAGAAGACAAATATGAAACTGCATTGCCTGCCATTGTTGGGTCCCTCTTCCAGGGCAGGCATTGCTAAAGGATCTGAGCCCTACAGAATGGAGAGAAAATCTTTACCACTTGCACCTCAGATAGAGCATAAATCTGTGGGACACATAAAGAACTCAAAAAAACACCAAAGAAACAAATAACCCAAGCAAAATGGGCAAAGGAACGGAACAGACACTTCACAGAAGAAGAAATATGATTGGTTAACAAATATATGAAAAAAAAGGTTCAACATCTCTAGCAATGAGAGAAATGCCAATCAAAACTACACTGAGATTCCATTTCACTCCAATCAGAATGACTATTATCAAGAATACAAGTAACAATAAATGTCGGTGAGAATGTGGGGGGAAAGGTACACTCATACATTGCTGGTGGGAGTGCAAATTGGCCAATCACTCTGGAATATGGAAAATCCTCAAAAAACTGGGATTGGAACTACTGTTTGACCCAGTTATTCCACTCCTCAGTACATCTCCAAAGGACTTAAAAATCAGCATACTATAGTGATGCAGTCACATCAATGTTTATAGCAGCTCAATTCACAATAGCTAAGCTATGGAACCAACCTAAATGTTCTTCAACAGATGAATGGATGCATTTTAAAAAGTGGTATATACACATGATGGAATATCTCTCAGCCATAAAGAAGAATGAAATTATGGCATTTGCTGGTAAATGGGTGGGACTAGAGACTATCATGCTAAGTGAAATAAGCCAATCCCTCCAAAAACAAAGGCTGAATGTTCTCTCAGATGTGTGAATGCTAACATACAATAAAGGAGGGGGAATAGATGTTCATTGAATGAGACAAAGGGGAATAAAAGGAAGGGAGAGGGGATGGGAATAGGAAAGACGTAGAATGAATCAGACATAACATTCCTATGCTCATATGTGAATACACGACCAGTGAAACCCCACTTCATGTACAACCCCAAGGATGGGAAGTTATGCTCCATGTATGTATGTCAAAATACATTCCACTGTCATGTATATATAAAAAGAACAAAAAAATT